GGTTGGTCTGGTTGTGGTCGTTGGTCTAGTGGTAGTCGTGGGTCTGGTGGTAGTCGTGGGTCTGGTGGTAGTCGTGGGTCTGGTGGTAGTCGTGGGTCTGGTCGTGGTTGTGGGGGCCGGCGTAGTGGTCGTAGTTGTTGTAGTAGTGGTTGTGGTGGTAGTGGTTGGCCGGGGAGTAGTTGGGAACAGATCTCCGTATTTGCATTCCATTGAAGTCTTTTCGTCTCCGTTGAGCATTGAATAGACTTTTGTGAGGAGCGGGTATTTCCCTCCTTTGCACCGACCCTTAAAGTCGTCGTTTTCAAGCGACCAAACCATAGCCCCCTTCAGTCCCTTTCCTTTCAAAAATGCTATCTATTTATAAAAATACAAATATTAATCAACAAATGTATATAAGCCTTAATATAAGCATAAATGGTATATACTTTGCACTGAATACTGTCCACATTATCATATCCAACGAATATATCTTTAGTCCACGAATAGGGAGCCCTATAGTCCTTGTCGTACGAGTGCCCCCATTGCGACGGGTTTTGAATTATCATTTGACACATCTGTTCAACAATTTTATAATTAATAATTTATTTACATTTAATTTAAATTTAACCCAAACCTCATTATAGCCAAACACTCCCTCCTCATGAGATATATAACCCGCCGGTGACATACCCCTCGCCTCGTCGTGGAGATGGTTCTGAGAGGCATTCATGAGAGTCCAGGCCCTGCCATAGAAGGGCACTCCCATAATCATCTTATCCTTGCTGAGTCCGTGTGCCACATAATAATTGATAGTATAGTCGACATTAAATGTCCTGTAATTCTGATGCAATTTCCTCTCCAACTCCTCGGTCTCGTCGGGTCGGCTATAGAGGGGGGCGTTGTGTCCCAAGTAGTCATCAAAGCCCCCGTGATAGTCGTACGCCATTATATTAGCCCAATCCAGCAGTTCATTGAGTTTGGGTATAATATATGCCCTATCGATGGTTCCCTGGCCCGGGGAGACGGCAGCCGTTAGCAGAAATCCGTGCGGTTTAAACGCCTCCTTTAACTCCTCGAGTAGTTTCACGTAATTATCGATATCACTGACGGCGCCCCCTCTGTTGCCCGGGTACTCCCAGTCCAAGTCGAGGCCATCGAAATTGTATTTATCCAGAAATGTGACCACACTTTTGACAAACTTTTGTCTACTCTCGGTATTGGTGACCATATCTGA